GTCTGTACCACCTGTTTTGCTCCTACCTTCCACCATGGTGGGACCTTAAGCCTGGGTCCTATAATGACACACAGGAACAGACATGAACCTGACCTGCAGCTTAGAGCAGGGTCACCCAAAATGCTGTGTGAATAAAAGATAAATATTTATTATTGTAGCCACTGAGGCTTTGAGATTTTTGCTACACATCATTATCACAGCCAAAGCTAACTAATACATGGAACCTCCTGGGATTAATTTCTGTTACTGCAAGTCCAACAACACATTTATGAAGTCAAGCTAATTGATAGCAGGGAGACACTTCAGAGTAGCTAGCCCACTGTAATGCTAGATGAGGTAGCAACAGAGGAAACTGTTGACCTTATGTACAAATCAAGCATTTGAAATTTCACACAGTTATGTTTTCCTGCCTAAAAGAGGCGGGCAAGTTTATTCTTTTAAATAATGCCTTTGCATTCTTGTTCTTCCACATTAACTGATTTAGTAAACTTTAAAATCAAGCAACAAAATTCTTACTTCCTAGAAATGGGAAACAACATTACTTAGTTTTCTATGGCCACGGTAATAAATGAACACATACTTGGTGGTTTAAAACAACAGAAATGTGTTCTGTTATGGTTCTGGAGGCGAGAAGTCTGAAATCAGTTTTCCTGGGCTGAAATCAGGTGGCAGCCAGGCCACACCCTCTCCAGAGGCTCTCAGGGAGCAGTGGGTTCCTGGCCTCTTGCTGCATCTAATTCCCTGCCTTCCTCTGCCCACCGCCCCTCCCTCCGCCTTCCAGTCTGGCTCTCTCTTTGCTGAGGTCATCATATGGCCTTCCTCTATAGGTCAAGTCTCCTGCTGCTTCCCTCTCATAAAGACACATGTGACTACATTTAGAGCCCACCCAGATAATCCTGAATAATCCCCTCATCTCAAAATCCTTAATTTAATCCAATGTACAAAATTTCTTGCCCGTTAGGTAACATTCACTGGTTCCAGGGATTAGGACCTAGACATTTTGGGAGACTGTTATTTAGCCAACCTCAAGGAGTGTGGTTTAAGTCTATACTTTTCTGTATACCACAAATGCTCTATTATTCTGTCCAATTTTCTAGTAGAAAGGAGAATGATTTTTTCCCCTCCTTACATTGCCTTTTCATTTGCCAGCAGCAAAATTAATTATTTCCTTCAACTCTGTGGTAGAAGATCTAAATCAGCTGCTTTAATCAACAAATTTAACAAGTCCATTGATTCTGTATTTTTTAATAACACAATCTAAGTCATCTAAAACTCACTACTTAATTTAAAAGGTGAAATGTGTCTTTTCATTTCAGAACTCCTTTGCTTTACTAATAAAATTTTTAAAAGTATACTTCTAAAATTACTTTCTCTATATTTTTATTTGCATTAAAAACAGGAAGACTGAAGGAAAGTCATTGAACAATTCAACTACCAGTTCAAAGACTTCCCTAACAACGTTGAAATCGCTTTCTGCCCTGCACTGGAAGAAGGATGATGGTGGAGGAGGGAGGAGGGGTATTTGGGATTATTCCCAAAAGACTGGAAAAGAGAAAGATGAGTTCATATACTAGAGATCCTCTTTAATTACCAGTAGCTTCACACTTTATGAGTTAGACCTCAAAATAAACCAAACCACCTCGCACAGATAAGAGCAGGGGGCAGACATCCCATGGTTTTCTCTGCAAGTTTTCCCACCTCTCACCTCCAGACGCAACCCCACACTGTGCTCACGGCCACTAGTTCCCTACCCTCCACTCCCGCCTCCTCCCAGTGTTCTGGACTAGTCTTTCACTATCACTGGTTATGTCATAATTTGATCCCACACACAGAAGGCTCCTCCACCTCCTGGAGATTCTGTTTGCCCGCATCTCAGGAACATGACCACAGCGTGTGCTCACCGTCTCAAGTCAGCACAATTGATGTTGGTGAGAAGCTTCTTTGCCTTTCCAAGGAGGGCAGGACTTGAGAAACCAGGATTAAAATACTGGACAGAAAAGAGCCAACGATTTGACAACATACTCTGTTGATAAGATTGTGGAGAAACACTCTCACATGTTGTCGGGAAGAGTGCAAAACAATCCCTGTGGAGAACAATTTGTCCATGTCTAGCAAAAATTACATGCCTGCATAATCCAGTAATCCCATGTCTAAGAACAACAGCATTGGCCAAATATGAAGTAACGTGCATTTGAAATATTGAAAGATTGTAAATAACCCCAGATGTCCATCAACAGAGAAGTGGTTGAGTCTGTTGTTGACACACTCACATAATGAAGTATATGTGCTTAGAAAAGTAAATGAGGACATTCTCCTTATACTGATATGAGGTGATCTCAAGGATATATTGTTTAGTCAAAAGAAAAAAAAAAAGCCGAGCGCAGAATAGTGTTTATCCTGGGCTACCATTTGTGTGCAAATAGGAAAATATGCCTGAGTCAGGAAGTACCGATGATATCATTGGGGCTCTGGCTCTTGCTTGTCTGTGCTTGGGTTTATTCTACAGTCTGGTTTTTTCCATACAACAAATGAGAAGACCACTTGTAGCCCAGGCTATTCTATCAAAGGAAGGAAGGTCCAGCCTGGTCACAGGGCAATGGGGGAAGAGGACACAGTGGAGTTGGCAGCCCTACCAGGACCATAAGACAGGCCAGGAAGGTCCCCAGATGAAATGAGGCCACTGGGTGCAGAAGGACAAGAAAAGCCCACTACGGGCTCAGTCCTATAGGAATAAAAGGATGGGAGGAGAGGATCTTGAAGTTTATTCAGATTTCAAAATTCTGTGATGTATGTGAGCCTTCTTCTCTCAGAGTATCAGAAGGAAGCAGCTATAAACATTTATTCAAATTCATATCCAAGAGCTTATAGCAATTTATTGGTTAAGTTTGGGGTTGCATTGGAGTTTGCTTCGGGTTTCTGCACTTCACCCACAGGATTTTTGAGGGAGTCTGAAACCTATTGCCAGAAACCAAGCAGGAGTTTTAGAAAGTGAATTCTGCACTGTTACGGTGGCATAAACACGCCAGTACTAGGCTGTGCCTGTACAAGGACGAAACAGCTTTGGGTGTTCTGTTTTACAGCCAGAGAGCACTCCCTCTGATTCCGGGCATGGGCACCTCTGGAATTCTCTGGGGCCCACCACAATGGAGAGCTGCCAGGAAAGGGCAGGTGTCGCTTACTGGAAGAAGGCTAACGACCTCAGAAGCACTTTGGGATGAGCCGAGAGCCTCCAGAGAACCTTGTACACACAGGCTGCCCGCCCAGTGTTAGCATTTACAGAGACTGGCAAAGCATCCGAGTGAAAGCAAAATTTCTGGGCATCCAAATGCTGTGTTGGCCAAGAAGCTCAGATTACCTGGGGTCTCCCCTCCCACCCCCGCCGCTGTTTCAGCAGGGAGACTTCTAAGACCATTCTTAGGAACTACTCTTATGGAATTTTTCAAAAACAATTTCTCCTGCTCTCTTTTCTTTTCCCCTAAGACCAAACATGTTTGGGATATGAGTAGAAAAATCTGCTTCCCATGGTGGAAACTGAGCCTGGGGAAATGGCCTTCTCACCTTTTGATAATTCCAGTGATCCCTGCTAGCTAATGACCACTCGCTCTTCATGGTCCCCAAAACTGCTCAGTGAAGCCTCAACACCAAGTATAAAACAAACAAAACCCCGATGCTTTTATAATGACAGAAATTACTCATAATCATGTAAACTCCAGTTCTTTATTTAACAAAAATCTGAAATCTTGTTATTTTATAGCATTGACTATCCTATGTTAAAACTGCAGCACATTAAAAATACATTCCATTCCATTTTTTAGTTTACTATTAAAGTTTAAGCTCAATACAGTAAAGTACTGCTTTGAAGTGTGCATTGTATCGCTCTTCCCTCTTGCTGCTGCCATCTTCAGATCTCCCTCCAACTGCACACACAGGTGAGTGAAGACAATATTCTGTCCACTTCCTGGGCTTGTTGACACCCCGCTTGCCTGGTCTCCCTTCCTCCGAGCCTCACCTCTTCGGCTTCCATCACAGGCTCTTCCACCTCTAGCCAGTGAGCTCCCGGAGGACTTGTTGCTGGGCCCTTTCCTCTTCTTACCTTTCATTATGACCCCTGTGGTCTTGTTTTCTCCTCTGCTTTTAAATACTGTCTCTTCACCAAAGCCTCTGAACCATACATCTCTGTCCCAGGCCTCCCTACTGAGCTCCAAACCTGACTGTTTGTGTATATCTGACCGACCACATAGCCACTCATGAATGTCACAAATTCAGTATGCTCTAAATTGAACCTATCATCTCATTACCACCCACCCACCCCAAAAACAAACTCCAGATAGAACAAGTAATATGATCAGGAATAGAGAGTGGAAAAGCTGTAATAAGGAGTGGTGAGTAGTCTATGAGGGTGCACATGTTGGGAAAAGATAAAAGAGAGGGAAATAAAAGATCTTAAGCAACTACTTAAACATAAACCTATCCTTGCCTGCCTCACAAAGGGGCTACGTGAATCCATTAGATTGTAGTTCTGAAGGCTGAACCATATTAATACATTCTGAATACTCCGAAGACCTCAAGATGTGCTTATTATAATAGACATCCAACCACTTTCCCCCAAATGTGGCAACTACATTACGTAACGCTTGACATAAATGTGTGTCCACGTGAAACTAACCCTCAAAAATGGTTAGTCTCCAGCCTGGAAAAATGAAGGGTCGGGTTAAAAGGAAGAAAACCTGTAAAATCATGAAACACATGAGAGACACGCTCAGTCTGTTCATTAAATTCTGGAACACCCACGTAAGCGAACATGTGCAAGCCTAAGGAGGTCGTGTCATGTTTTACACCATGGACAGTGATCTCAGCCCTAGAGGTGAGTCAGCCTTGGAATGAAAATATGTTCAAGAAAATGTTTAGTTGAGTCAGGGAACAACAGACTTGGAGAAGTTTTGCATCATTTATCATCACAGCAAACACTTTTTGAGGGCACAAACTGCTGGGGATCTCACCTTTAGCTCCTGTGAAGTTCATGACGTGAAGGCCATTACAATGTCCCACGACACAACCACCTCCTGCCACCATCAGAGTACTGGTTTGGTTGTTAGCTATCGGACCTACTGGGATGGGCTATTTGTTCTTGTCCTTCACCTCTAGCTTCCCAAGGGACAGAACATGTGTGATTTATCATATTATGAATGCTGAAGTTTATTTAGACAGGCCATCCTTGTCTTTCTCGTGAAGAATAAGCACAAACCTTTTTCTATTTTGTCTGAGTCCTCTTCCCCAACAATGTTAGCATACATTTGCGTGTGTGCCTACTGGTATATGCCTCTTACACAGTAACTAGTAACAATGCACACTAGTATAGTAGCTATACTATACTAGTAACTATGCAGTTACAGGTAGCAGCCTGATGTATTTCCTAGACTCACGGTCTCAAAGCCAATTGTGCAGGTTCCATGCTGACCCTTCCAAGATGTCACCCAGTTTTAGTGTGGCTGAGAAAAATCTCAAAACAAAACTCATTTCTTGTCTTCTCTAGCTTTTGCAAAATTTTACATGCCAAGTAGAGCTCAGGAGCTGGGGAGAATACCGTTATCAGAATGAAATGAAACAACATGTAGGAATTGTGGGTCCATGCATGAATTAAGACAGCATCGTCAATCTCCCTCTTCTTAGTCAATCAGGATATAAAACATTCCTGCTCTGAATTGAACTGTTGGTCGCCCTTAAATCCACTGTGATTCACCACATTCATGGAATGTGATAAACAGCTCCTACACTAAGGCAAGTAACAAGAATGTTTCTGTTGTGAATATAAAATCATACACAGGTTAGGTTCCCCAGCTGGAATGAAGTGAATGACTATCAGTTAACAAAATCGTTTGATTAAGAAGCAAACAATGGCCTGAACTACCTGGAAAACATCATCAATTCCCAGTGTTTGGGGTAAGTAGTCTCTGAGAGATACCATGGCATTTCTAGTAAACAGAACTTCACATTTATTAGCCAATCAAAATAAAATAAGACTTCTGCATGGGAAACAGTAATGAATTAAGAATATTCCGTTTAGAAGAAGGAACAGGTCTAAACCCTGGTTATAGAGCAAAAACCAAGCCTTGAAGAGTTGTTTATTTTCTCATTTGGGGAAATGGACTTTGGAAAGCCTTGTAATGTAGGCTGTTACAAACCTTACTTCCATCAGAAGAGACTTTGCTGGACCTCAGTTAATCTGCTTATTTATGATCTGTTCAGATGCAGGCAATTGAAGGACATAGAGAACTGAAATATTTCCATGACAACAATTTTTTATTAAATGGAGAAAATGCCAGAATTATTTTTTATGACCAGACTGAAGTAAATAATTGGCCAAAAAAGGTTTTCCAAGCATTTTTTACCCAAATAATGTTCCAGTGATTATTTAAAATTGAAGACTAATATTCAAGACTCCTGGCTCCTAATTAAATATATTATTTAATCACTCTAGCTCTCATTCTCCCAGCAGGAAATAGAGATCATAATAACAGTGTCTTGTAGGGGTAGGTTTAAGATTAATTAGTTTGTGATTATTAAGTATGTTTTGAGGTAGTAAAATGAAAAATACTGTAAGATTTTATAATGTCATCATCACAGGTTTGTAAGAAATACAAATCTAATGTACTTTGCCCCCCCTTGTGTCTGCAATTTATGGGTTTTAGCTCTTATTTCTATAATTTTTTATTTTAGTGGATAAATATGAAATGATTTTATTAGTATATCCTGAATCCTAGTTAAGAAACACACACACACATGTGCCCTGTCAGCCACAAAGACACAACATACAAGCTCCTGTGCCTTCCAGGAAGATGACCAGGGTCCCTGCTCTGATTCTGTTTCTTGTATCTACTCCATTTTTCACTGATTTAGGACATGGGACCAACATTGGCGACTATGACTTCTTCAGCACAGTTCCAAATATTGACTTTCTGGTTAATTAAGTATTTAAATAAGCAGAAAGCATCATAAACCATACTTGGATTAATAATTTTCTAACAATGAGAATTGAGTAGAAATGTAACAGTTCACAAACTATCCTAATATATTACCCTTATATTGACAATACAGAAGGTACTCTCAGGGGTCATAATTAATATTAATTACTTTATATTCTACCCTATATAGTAAGAAGTTTTTTACAAATAAGGAAACTGAGGCCCAGATAAATCGAGAAGCTAACTCAAGGTCATACAGCCGGGATTAGAACCCAGGTGAGTCTGACGGTACCACCTCTGTATGCCATGCCAGTGTCTGCCTCTGCGTTTGTAGTAAAGAGACTGCATTCAGTGACACACACTTTCCCCACGGTTCACTGAGCTTGTATCCCAGTGCCAAGGCAGTGCCTGCCCTCTAGGAGTCTCTGTTGGAGGATGAGCAACACACGCGCACAGTCTGTGAGGAGCATCTCACTGTTGGGAAGTCCCAGCTCCCTGAAGCTGGGTTTGTCTACTCAGGAAATGGCTCTCACTTCCCTTTAGGTTCCTCCATGGTCTGGTTCTCCTCTAACTGATAGTGATGTTGTCGTCCAGGCTGCTAACTGCTCCCACCCCAGCTCCTTCATGTAGGGTCCCGTGTGCAACACCAGCAACATGTTCCAGGTCCATTAATATTCCCAGGGCCCAGGCAGCATGTCCTTGATCTCACCTGTACACAGCCCAGCCTGTCCAGCACCCAAGGTCCAGACGCCCCCAGTTTGTCACTGTCACACAGCCCAGGCACAGTTTCAGTACCCCCTGGGAGAGGGACTAGGTGGACGCAGTGGAGGGAGCAGGGCCTCGGCCAGCATCAGAGCTCCAAACAGGGCAAAGCAGAGAGGAGGCTGCCCACAGACACGCAGGGGGATAATGAATCAAATGTGGGGAGCTGGGGGTAAGCACAGCTGTGGAAAGCAGGACGATGACGGCGCCTGAGCAAACCCCCCAGGTACTGACCCCAGTGGTTCTTTGTCACTGGGGCAGAGACAGGTCTGGCTGCACTGAGTGAACAATTCCCACACAAAGACAAGCCATTCATGAACTTGCTTTTCCTACACTTTTAAAAAGTAATAAGCAGGAGCTGAGGGAGAACCAGAGGGGAGGGGAATCTGGACCCCCAACACAGTAACAAACATTTCTGTTCTGTAAATAGCTACTGTATTTTTGAAATTAAAAAAATCATTGTATGCTTGAAAAATAAAACAAATGTACTTGGGGAAGCATGAACCAAGCTGTTTACAACTTGACTCACCCACACAGTGCAGGAGATGTGGTCCCCCTACTCACATGGGACGTGCAGCCTCCAAGTGGTGGAGCGGGTATTGTGCCATCGGTGACTAGAGGCCAGGTGTGGGCCCTGTGTAACCTTGACCACCTCATTTCACCAAATTTATCAAATGTGTGTTTAGTACATGTACATGGCACTAGGGTGGGCAGGGAACATGAAGGTGGGTTACATAAGCTCACGCTTTTCCCTGATTTCCAGTTTCCTCATTTCAAGTGAAGTCCTTCGCAATTATAAATGGTTACGATTCAAGGGTCATTTACTTAAGCAAGGAAAACTTCAGGAGGTGTTTTCTCCTTATTGGTATTTATTGCATTCTGATACTTGAGCGGTGATACATCTAAACCTCTAAAACTCAAACAACCTTTAAATAATTTGGACCTTTGTTTTTCCCATCTGTAAACTGGGGATGATAACAGCTCTCCTACCATCAGCTGAAAAAAGCGCTTGTCAAGAATAAGTTCTATTAGGATTTTCCACCGTAACAAGAAGCAAGGTCAACAGTTCTCAGATGTGGCAGCATGTTATAATAACCTGGGGAGACTTTAAAATACCAACATCAAGGCCCTACCTCCAGAACCTGGGTTTTAGTCAGTGGGGTAGGGCCCAGGCATCAGAACATTTACAAAACCCTCATGAGACTTCAATGTGCAGTGAAGTTGAGAAGCACTGTCAGCTACTTTGAAGGAAACTTAGTTCTCAGTTGATTTGGGTGACATGATACCTTCATTTACATCAGCATTTTTAAGAAGTTATGCACATAAGCATCAGCACACTTGAGCTGTGATTGACAGCACGTTGGCCATTGTGATGGCTGCCACGGGCCGGCTGACAGAGTATAAAAGGGCATTCATTATTCCAGTAAGAACAAGACATGCTGTCATTGGTTTTTTTGGCTTTGTTGCAGTTTGTTTCAATTCAAATAACTACCACACACCAGCCTCTATCTAGGAGAGTGTTCCCATTTTATAACATTATTTCACCTTTCTCCCTTGAACCAGGAGATAAGAAAAGCTGGCCTGAAATACACCTGAGAACCAAACTTACTTCCGTCACATCTTTGAACCAGACAAATGATGCATAAACCCTCAGTGGGAGGTGGTAATATATAGTGATGACAACATTTGAAATGATGATGAATAAGGTCTGCACAAATGAAAATCAACTAGAACCTAGATCTGTAAGTTCGTATGACATCTCTGAAGGCAGATACAGGAACAGCCACAGTGCTTCCAGCCAGCATTTAGAGTGACTTGGGTTTTATTCCCGCAGGCCCAGGAGGCATGCATTCCCAACCTAAGAAATCGATTCCCTTCTTCCTGTTCCTCAGGACACCCCATTACTTTGCTCTGGTGACTTTTATAAAAGTGTATAATCCATTTTATTGAGTGTAAATCAAATAGTGAAGCCTAATGGGGAATGAGGAGCCCCAAGCTCTTTCCATAAATACGTGTGCATTTTCTCTAGGTAAGTGCTAAAGTAACACCCTGGGGAATGAAGAGAAGAACAGCACAGGCTCAGCAAGGAGGCCGTTTCTGCTTTTCATCTAAACACCATGTCACACACTTCGGGAGACAAGTAAAGCTAAAACATCAACATACTCACCTTTCCAGGTGACCACTGGCCCCTATGTAGTTAGCCTATGCCTTAAAGTGGACTGTTTTTATGAGTAACCAAAATAAGGATAGTGGCAATAATGGCAGCTAGCATTTATTGAGGTTTTACCACACGCTGTG